ATTAAAGAATATCAAAAATTTTAGAAAGTATTTAAAAATTTTTAGCAGTCTCATAGTGTTTTTTTTTTACAAAAAAATATATATGTTTTACAATATTTTTGTAATACATATATGTATAACAAATTAGGAAATATAGAAAAATTCTAATTCGGGTTAGACAAACTATCAATTCTTGACCTTGTGATCCAGATTGGATCAATTTAACATTTATTAGAATGTTTATCATACTTATTTTATATTTTAATTTTCCTATATAAAATCTTGATAAGATAAAATGCGCATGATTTGGAAACATGCGCATGAATACACATTTATGCGCATGATTGAGGAATCATGCGCATACATGAAACCCATCTCTAATGCTAACTATGCTAATTATGCTAAATATCTTGAATATTCTAAATATTCTAAATATACTAAATATACTAAACAAATATGCAATCGATCGCCCAATTTGGTCATATTTACTGACGATTGATTTGTAATCGTAACACTATATAAAAATATTAAAATTTTTAGTTTATCTATGTATAACTTTTTTTTTATTATAACAACCTATTTTTATTTTTTAAGTAAACTTGTTCAGCATAATAATTTACATATAATTACAGATTTAAAATTAGTATACATCTTTTTTTTACAAAATTTTATTAGCAAATATACAAAATTTGCAAAATTTTAAAAAGTTGTTCTAAGTAATTTTATTTTACTATTTTCAATATATTTAAATTCAAAATTTGAATATAAGTAATATATAGGTTTAAAAGGATCTTTAGCTTAAAGTTTATAGTAAATTTATATATTTTTATTATAATTTTTATTATAAACTTATACTTATATATAAACATATTTAATATTTTTCTTGACTGTTATAGATTAATTTTACTATTATTCTTGCTTGAATTCTTTATTAAACATTATGAAGATATATGATAGGAGTTATGCTCCACTTCACTACTGTTTCTTCTGTTATAATATACATTATGCTCTTAAATTTCTATTATATTTTCTTTAACAATTTGTTACTTTATATATTCTTTATCAATATATTTATATAGCTTTGCTCACATGACAAAGAATAAAATAAGAATTGAAAAGTACAAGTCTATGCTATAGTGTGGCACATTCTACTTTTTTTTTTTTGCCTATGCTATAGTGAGACACATTCAACTTATTGTGCATGACAACTAGCAGATTATGTATTTGGTGCAATGGGTTTATAAGGGTGCATGTGGTGGGTCAAGTACGATGAAGCAGATTGTAATTAATTGGGCAATGAAGAGAACAAGTAAACAAGACAAGTGAAGAAAGCACTAAAATTTTCAATTCTTCTCCCACATGTATCTTTATAATTTCTGTTTTATGCACCTACCTGCATGATTATAATCTCAATCATATGAATACCAATAATCTTATTCACATACAAATCTATAATCTCTATTGCATACAATCATGTGCATCTCTATTGTCTTACTTATACAAGCCCTGGCTCATAAGAAGACATTCATATGAATAGTTAATTTTTGTCAATCTACCTATGATTGCCTATAATAATTAACCAATCAAATTATATAATTTTTTTAAAATATTTATCATTTTAATACTAGAAAATGAAAAAAACTTTGCTTAAAGAAGCTTATTGCATAAAGTTTGAAAACAGATAGATATGTGTAAAGTGGAATATATGAATGTAAGTTAATACATGAATGAATTATTAATGAAACTATCTTTATTATACTTTGAAAAAATCACAGTAATTCGATTTTATTTCATTATCATGACCTTTATTAGAGATACAACACGACCTTTAGCCCATATAATTAATGAAAAAATAATACTCATATACTGTACATACTATAACCTACTACTTAACCCGAAGTTACTAATGTTTTACTTTATAATATTCAAACTACATAAAATAAATAAAGTAGGAGCATTAGTATAAGCTTTTTATTATAATAGCATGTTAAATAGTTTAACAAAGTTCTTTAGGTTTAGATCTTGCATGTAACGTTTCAATCTTTTTTTTTGTTGGCCGTTTCCAGCATTTAGAACTTACATATACAGTTAATATGACTAATACTATAATAAATAGTAAAGAATATTGCTTATAAGTGAAGTTCTTGTAGTTACTGATTATTTTTGATTATTTTTGCATAGTGAATATAAACGTTCTTACGAAACGAAAAACGGCTTTTGCGGTGATTTTTTATTAGTACCGTAGTGAAACGTTACGTTTTCAAAAAGTACTTTAAACTGTATAAATAAGTTACCCGGCAATTGATTTACATCAGCCAATCAGATGAATGTCTGTCTATGAAGTCCTGGCTCAATTCATATAAGCCACAAGTGTTGATCCTCGCGATAACAGCCCTAGCGTGACTTCGTAAACGCATAGCGATAGGGCACGATCGACTACAAATTACGTAAAGATTGTCAATTTAACTTGTATTGAAGTGTATGACCTTAGTTGTACGAAAAATTTATATAAATTTAGAATTGATAACATACCGTTTTTTTAAAACTCTTCTCAAACTGTAGAAATATATTGCGGTTATTTTTCAATATGATAACATTACCGAATGAATGTTACTACCTAATATTTAATAACCTTAGGTCTAATTATAAAACTTTATTTTCGTGTGCTCTTGTAAACCGTCAATGGTGTAGAATTATTATCCCAATATTGTGGAGCGAACCGAAACACCATTTTAGAGATAAAAGACTTATAAAAATATTTCTTTTAACGTTAAATACTCAAGAACGAACTCTATTAACTCCTTTTAAAATCACCATCCCAACTCACCCAAAACCATTATTTGAATATACAAGTTATATCACATCCGTTAACAATTATTTGTATATTGGTATTAAAAGCTGGCTTTATGTTGAGAAATATAATACAGGATGTAATCTTGAAAATGCTGTTAAATGCTCTTTGATTTCAATGTTTCTACGAACTAGTAAGGATCTTAAACATTTAAGCCTTAGTGAAATTATTTGCAATCAAATGATATTTGAAAATCTTTATGAGAGCACAACTATTACCTCTATGGAATTATATAAAACTAGTTTAGATCTTAAATTTAAAACAATAGATGTGGTAACGAAAATTCTTTATAAAAATTCTATTTTAACTTCTTTGGATTTTAGTTGTAATAATATTGGATCAGTTGAAGGAAAAGCTTTAGCTGATGCATTTTGCAAGAACTCCACGCTGACTTCTTTGAATCTTAATAATAATGATATTGGACTAGAAGGTGAGAAAGTATTAGCAGATGCACTTTGCATGAACACCACGCTAACTTCTCTTAATCTTTATAATAATTATCTTGGACCAATAGGTGGAAAAATATTAGCAGATGCACTTTGCAAGAATACTACGCTGGCTTCTTTGGATCTTGGTCGGAATAATCTTGGATTAAACGGTGGAAAAGCATTAGCTGATGCACTTTGCGAGAACGCCACGCTAACTTCTCTGAATCTTAGTCAGAATAATTTTGGATCAGAAGGTGGAAAAACACTAGCAGATACACTTTGCAAGAACACCACCCTGACTTCTTTGGATCTTGAAAATAATAATATTGGATCAGAAGGAGGAAAAGCATTAGCTGATGCACTTTGCAATAATACCGCGCTAACTGCTTTGGTTCTTGGAAATAATAATATTGGGTCAGAAGGAGGAAAAGCACTAGCTGATGCACTTTGCAAGAACGCCACACTAACTTCTTTGAATCTTGAAGTTAATAATCTTGGATCAGAAGGAGGAAAAGCATTTGCAGATACACTTTGCAAGAACATCACGCTGACTTCTTTGGATCTTTGGAAGAATAATCTTGGACCAGAAGGAGGAAAAGCATTAGCGTATGCACTTTGCAAGAACACCACGCTAAATTTTTTGAAACTTGAAGAAAATAATCTTGGATCAGAGGGAGGGAAAGCATTTGCTGATGCACTTTGTAAGAACACCGTGTTGACTTCTTTGAATCTTTATAACAATAATATTGGGCCAGAAGGAATAAAGGCATTGGCGGATGCACTTTGCAAGAACACTACGCTGATTTTTTTGAATCTTAGAAGGAATAATCTTGGATCAGAAGAAAGAAAAGAATTACTAGATTCATTTTGCAAGAACTCCACACTACTTCTTTAAATCTTAATCACAACAATTTTAATTTTTAAATCAAAACCATACAACAAAAGAATAGAAATACTGCTACGTATAACAAAGAACATGACAAATAGCTCATCATACAATTAAATATAAATATTTTAAGATCTTTGAATATGTGCTTCATCTTATTTTCTATCTTTATTTTGTGACTAGCTTTGAATGCTTGTGTATGAGCTTTGTTATGAAAATTGCCTTACGAAACTTACGAAGGTTGGGAGTTTATGAAAATATAAATCATGCTTTGAATAGTGGACAGAAAAATGTTTTAGAAGGAAAATTTAAAACTTTTGTCAAACAAGAAATTCAATTAGAATTTATTCAAATCATTATTGAAGGTAGTGTTGTACATTTTCATTGTTCAAAGATTTTGAGTGAAGTTTTCTTAATAATCACAGGTTTAAATTCAATGAAAATTTTTTTATTTTAATTCTACAAATATACTGTATATAATTAAAATAAGAAATTTTTTATCAAGAAAAAACTTCACTCAAAAATCTTTGGACAAAGAAAATGTACAACACTGATTGAAGGTAATCCATCAATAAATTTTATTTATTTATTAAATAATTTTTAATTTGCTTTTTGATTAATTAACAAATAGCATAGCATCATCAATTAGAATTGCGAATACTGTTTTTACATTAAGTTTAAACATTAAAGAATTATCTAGAAAATACTCAGTCTGTCGATGCTCTACCTCTACTACTTTTAAATGATAGAAAATTAGACTTGATGGACTAAAAAGTAAAATCAAAACCTTAAAAATTTTTGTTACAGAAATTGTTGGGATCCGAAAAAACCATTGAAATGCTTTTTGAGAACAAAAATGCATAAAAAGGAGAATTATGAAGGTGCATTGAAGTGTTCTAAACAAAATTTTGAATTCGGTAACCTAGAAGCAAATTTTGTCAAGGATATTATTTACGTCATGGATATTATGTAAGAAAAGATTCTATTAGTCCATAAAACTTTCAAAGAAGCAGTTGATGAAGATAATCATTCTGAATCACAATGTCAATATGCAATTTCATTGCTGATCTTAACAAAGAGGTAGAAAACATAAAAGATAAAAGCCATGAAGAAATTATTTTGTATTAGCCGTTGAAATCCCTCTAAATCATATGTTGATTTAATATATTAATATTTAAGTAATGGAAAACATAAAGTGTAAAAAATAAGAACGTGGGATAGATTATTTAATATTAGCAGTAAAAATAGTAATTGCTTTATTAGAAAAAATTATGTGAATAAATTAAGTAGTTGTTTAAAATTTATATCTAGTAAATTCTTTGTAAAAATTTTTTTCTTTCGATGGTCATTTATCCTTAAAAATTCATATTATATAATAAAAATTATAAGATTGTCGACCTAAAGGTCTAAAAAATTTTTACTTCTATAGCCTATAAGTATAAGAGAACAGAAAGCATTAACGTAGTTATTGATCATGTTGGACCATAATCGGATGGGCTGAAGGAACAAATAATTAAATACATTTAAAAACATTATATAAAAGATTTGTCAAACTCTGAATTTTTTCAACATCAATGCCAATTCTTAAAGTCAATTTTTTTTATTAAAAAATCAATATCAGATTTGTCCTGGAACCTTTCACATGTTGCAAACTATAAAATCAGAATATTGTTAATTTAATTTAAGGTTTGATATGTTCGGAGGATTATGAATATTTAATTAAAAGAACTTGGATCAACGATTGGTAATTCGTTTATCGAATCCAATCTTTACGTAAAATTAGTTTTTAAATAGAAATATGAAAGCATATATTGACAAAATTAATTATATTAGGTTTTTGTCAATTTTTTTTATAATTCTTGGTTTAATAAAACCAAAGAATAATTTTAATTAAAATCACTGTACTCATATAGAATAGCATATATATGTACGTACTTTATTATATATATCAAAGAAAGTAGTAAAACAATGTGTATTGCCAAATTCTATTTTAAATCTATACATTAGATAAATGATAATGAACTAAGTATATTCTTTAAAATGTAGATTTTTTGATTGAATTTTGTAATCCAGTTATTTTGATGATACATCTAGTGCCAATTTCAATTTAATAAACCATTCTGACTAGCATTTAACAATTAAATCTTCCTTATTTGACACTACTTCAAAAGTATATTCCCCTAAATATTCTTGAAGATTATTCAATTTAATACCCCTGACACACACATACTTTAAAGTTTTTTTCCGAATATAATATTTGATTAAAGAATTGACCACACTTCTACAATCATATGATCAAGTCAATTCCAATTAAGATGAGAATCATATTATTTCTCATCAACACAAATTAAAAGTTTATTTAAAGGTGCATCACAATGATTTAATAAAATATCAATATGCGGATTTGAATATACTTCCAACCCATTCCATTCAAGATATTGTAAAGTTAGTGGTAATAATTTTGCAAATTGTTCAATTCGCATTTTCATATCCTCATCAGTTCCATCTCTAAACCAGTCAAATGTAAGAAATTGGAGATTGCATAAATTTAAAATAAGTGTCAAAACTTGAGAGGTAAACTTAATAATTGAAATGCTAAGATATGTAATATTTGGACAGAATATAGCAAGACTCACAATTAATTGGTATTGTGATTGAATTCTATTTCTAGAATCAAGCTTAAGCCATTGTAGTGATAATCCAGAATTTTTTAAAAATTGAAATAAGTCTGAACCATCAAGTTCAGATCACTCCATTTCCAATGTATTAATTTTACAGAAATTTGCAATAAATGATATCCATTTGTCACAGTGGCTAATTCGAAAGACTTCCAAATTCTCACAATTTATTAACTCCTTACAATTTTTGTCAAATTCATCATCACAGTAGGATTCTATTTTAATTTCTCATAATGAATTTCTTTGACATTCCAATGCGGAGACAAAAGAGGAAACATCGGTATTAAAACTAAATCTGCTAATCTTTCGCTAGGATTTAATGATGTTTGTAAGTGCCTGATTTATTTGTAGTTCATTGGGGCAGCATATTAGCTCTAAAGTATGAATTTTGGTGGAATTTTTATCCAAGATTCTTAATAACATAATGTACTTATCAAGATTATTGTCAACTGATAATTCTACAGTTAATTCTTGAAGTTGAGAAAAAAATTGTTCATTCTGTCTTAATGAGTGAAAGACCTCTGGTTTAATAGTCAAATATGGAGTACGGATATTTTACTTTGATAAAGTAGCGCCGCTATCAACAAATATCTTAATTAATAAATTAGCTATATTTTCCTCCATGCGTTCTTCTAAATCAATACATTTTTTTAATTGAATCCAATTTCGAAGTCTATATCCAAGAAGACAAAGATCGAGAGCCTTTAAAAATCTTGCATAATTAAAAAGAGTAATAGGAAAATCAGCAATTATTCCACATTGACTTAGAATAGTTTTATCATATTCATTGGCAGATGAAAAATATCTGGATATTTCCAAATGAAAAAGGATCACACCAGAGAATAGGAATTGAAATTTTGCACCATTGTCGGTTTACTAATGTGCAAGAATATAATGAAGAAATTTCATTGTTTAAATTGTTAAGAATGTTCTCCACTAGCTCAGGTATATCCCTGTAACTATTTTTGATGCCATAGTTTTTTTTGTTAAGAGTTGTAAGAGTTGAAAATTTTGACGATTGTTGATCTGCGATTTTTAATTCTGTAATTGTTACGTACCCTCTCTGCAATTTGATCATTCGAGTTGACATGCAGTCAACAGATCGAAAAGATGGCTAAGCGGTGATGTAACGATCGCCAAGCACGTGGTCAAAGACCGGAGCCACCTCGGCTGGCAGGGGGCCGAACATTGCATAAGAAATCAACATCATGAGAAGAATAAACAATGACGCTCCATCAACTTCCGGATCCGGTAATCATGAAGTAATAATTGACCCGAGCAGGATTCAAGTCAAGTACAGATAAGTATAACGTTAAATAATGATGCAAACCATGTGCGTAGTCTATGTCTAACTAAATTGCCAAAACGTTTCTCTCGCGACCCGATCCCACCCTCCCAAAAAAAAAAAAAAAGGGGGAAAAAAGGAAGAAAAGAAGGGGGTAGACCCAGAGGTTACAATGCATGAGACAGAATAGTCGAACCCTGCCATTTTCATTGACAACTGCTTATTTCCATTTGTCGGCCGGCCTGCGTTACGCAGGCGGGAAACCACCGGCCGTTACTGCGCCATGCCGCATCTGCTGCCCATGGGATACCCGGCGCAATCTCAATTGCTACTTTTCCGGGTGCATATCCCGTTTCAGTTTATTTGTACATCGATAGCAACTGATGTATGCATTCTGTAAATAAAAAATCCATTCCGGGACATTACTCCGGATTCTTCCAAATATATCACGTGTGTGCAATGCTTTTCGATCAATTTTCAAGATCAGGTGTAACGTGATAGTCAAACCAAAATAGATGTCACATGATTAGGGCGCAGAAAGTGGTTTCTTAGGGCGTTCTCAAGCATCTACCTCAATGACGAATCTGATTGGTCTGTTTGATCAAACTAGCCAATCAGATTTTTTATTGAGTTCATTTAGGCCGGTGCTTGAGAACGCCCTTAATTGAGTTTGTAACTTTGCTTATGAATTTGATTTTAATATTTGTATACTGTAGAAGAATAGAAATTATATATTGTTAGAGAAGTAATCAAGTTACGAATATTGACCATTGTTTGTTCAACTAAATGTCAATTGCTGAATTGAATGATAGATTTATTATTGAAGAGTAAAGAATTTTATAAAAGTACAGTAGACAGAAGTCGAATGATCGTAATAATTATATGAGAGTATGTTATGTAAATTTGTTAATTTTGTTACCTAATATCTTGTGAAATCACGTATATCTAGTGATCTACTTTATTAAACGCCTTTCAAGATCAAGTAAAAAGTTTTTTTTACAAAAATAATTAGAAATTTTAAATAGTTCTAATTCTAACCCTAAATGTAGCGCGGTTTTCTTGACTTTAATTTATAAACTTCGATTATCACAGATCACGTTATAGTAATCTATAAATAGGGGGTATGATTCATATAATACGTAATAAGGATTTTAACAATTTCTCGTTTCATAACACAAAAGTAATTCATGGCATCAAAAATATTTATGAATTAATGGATATTATTCTTAAGAATTTAAGTAATGAATATTATTCTTTATACTCTTGCGTACTTGTGAGTCGATATTAGTGCAAAATATCAATTACCATTCTTTGGCAAGATTCGCTTTCATTCAGGAAAAATCCGTTATTCATTCCTAAGTATTTTTTATTTCTTGACGAAGGAAAAACATTAGTTTTGAAAAAATATGGAATAAATGAAGAATTTCCCAAGACACTATTTAATTATGCAAGTTCTCGATTTATTCAGTCTAGAGTATATGGGTTGCCGTCAATAGAAATAATGCAGATTGACATTTTTAAAAAAATCAATGCCTTAACTTCCTCAGCCCATATCTCAATGGGTTATCTTAATGATTTAATAATCAAAAGAAAGCTTTGATCGTAAGCTTTCTTTTGACTATTAAATCATCAAGACAACTTCAAAACACATTAAGATATGAACTATGAAATCTAAGATATTGATTTTTTTAAAATGTCAATCTGCCTTATTTCTATTGACAGCAACCCATATGGTTAAAAAGTGGATCTATTTCCAGCTAGTTCGAGAACATATTACGGTCCATTGATATGTCATATAATCAGTTCATTACTTGCATCAAGTGTAACACAATTTTAGAAAAATCTAGTTCATCACTACAACGACTTGTTTCTGAAAATCAAGAGATTCGGGTGATTTTTTATTACTAAATATATTAAATTCTGCCCAATCATTACATTTCGTGTTTTCCACTCAACTTATAGAACTTATAGAACTTATTGGTAATTTACAAAAACTTCAATTTAGCTCAATAATTGCTATGCTCCTTTAAAAAAGTTGTTAATTGGTAATCTTGATAACGAGAAACAAGTTAAAGTGTTAATTTAATTTTGAAACAAAAGTGAACTTTGAATTACGTGGGT